CGAACTTTTTTCTGTGAAACACCGCTCGAATGAAGAATTCTCAATGAAGCGAACTTCTTTCAGACAGATGAAGAGTATGTCAAATCACCAGTCACCCACTAAAGAAATGACTTTAGTTATTTTTCAACCATATCACTCATAAAATGAAACGTGCTTTGATACTTGGACTCAACGTTGACAACTTTATGTAAACGTTGTAATACTCTATGCCGTTTAACCAATCGATCAGCATCCGACATGCGCATCTTTTACAGTCATTTCATCAAAAGTAGAACATAGTGAGACACATGAAATTGAGTGTTCATAGACGGACTAACTGTAAGCTGTAATAGTGGCGAGTGTCGAAGGAGAGTAGTTCCTGTGTCTTGTCTCATAGAATCCGTAAAGCTTGAACACCTATGTATCACCTGAACAAATATCAGCCGTGAAGGCACCAATTTTGGGGAAAATAGCGTGCCTAGGAGGAATCTCTTGGTCTCATTTTATTTTGGACAAGCTACGTAAGCAATCTGCATGCATTGTAACAATTTTTTTGCGTGGCATGTGCTCAGTAGAAAATTGTCACTTTTCTCTTATCCGCATCCATTTTCAGTTCGTTGTAAAAACACGATTTTTTTTTGATGTTTCAACAGTAATCCATGATTTAAATCTCGATACTTTGTAAGGCATAATTTGTTTTCTAAATGGCTATTTTATTGCGCTGTAATGGTAAAAATGAAATTGCATTTAATACTTGATAATTTTTCGCTTTACAAAGTTTTTCTTTCAAACTTTCATAAACCTTTCGATAGCAAAAATCTCAACAGTTTCGAAAGTATGTTTGGTTTCCAATAAGGACTTTTCGGTGCGTTATTACAGTCGAAGGAAAAGTGGGTTCACACTCGGAGCGCATTTCCTGAAGGGTAGGGTGTGGGACTTCGTATCAATCACGCACACAATGATATGTTGCTGCTTGCAAAATACAATCTTAATTCCAGTGTTACAGCGCAATGAAAAGTCTTTCTGGGGAACAGAGTCGAGATTGAAACTATCGAATGTGTGCTGAATTTCTGGAGGAAAATCTTTGCCCAAAGAAAAATGTTTGAGTGTCAAATGAACTTTTATTTCTGCCGTGACAGCATAATGTAAAAGACTTTTGAAAATCAAACGTATCGTTTAAATTCTCGAGATTTAAGCATTGGCATGCTTATTGCAAGAGCGATGACTTTATGCCGGTGTTGCGTAGTCCATCCACATTTGGTGCAACGTAAGCACGCCGCATGTGATATGCAGCCTTAAATCAGTGTTGCAGCGTAAAAAAATCTTTTTAGAGAACCAAATGCTTCATTCGAATCGCCCAAATTTGAGCTTTTGAAAGTTTTCGTGTCAAGGGAAAATATTGCTTAGCGAAAAATGCTTGAGCGTGAATAAAATTCTTTTGGTGTTACGGTGAAACACAGGAGTCATTTTAAATTCAATTATCTCGTTCAAAATCTTGAGATTTAAACCATCAGATAGTCACTAAAATTTTTAAAACAAGCAAAAATGCCTTTTTCACAAAGGGTTGATAATGGGTGCGGATAGGGAAAAGTACCGCGTGTTCCATGGGTGATGCGATGTAGTAGGAAATTGTCAGTCTACCAAATTCCACTTACAAGTTGTGTTGTAGAAAAAGCCTAATCAGTAATGTTGCTAAAACTTTATTTTACCGATATCACGGCAATGAACATATCCTGCAACCACTGGATTTGGAGCTTTTAGCCTCTTGTCTTTCCAGACTTTCATGATCAGTTTAGTCCTCTTTGTAGGAAAAGTTCCACAATACGTAATTCCGAGGACTAACAGGAGACAATCCGATGTTTGTAAAGATATGACTTACCTTGCTCAAAAGCAAAGATCGTGAGGATCTTCTCCGCGATCTCAGACATACTGCCCTCTACGAATGGACTCGTCATGTTTTGTGATGCGCTGCGCCATGCTGACAAGCATGTGCTGGACGACTCTAATGGAAAGAATTCAATATTCAAGATTTCTAATGTTCATATTGCTGTTTTTACAGTGTTATTGATGTCTCAAATGCACTAGGAGAATTGAATGGTTAGCAAAAATTCGGCCTCAGGCAGGAGTTGAACCCAGGTTTCACCGAGTCCGGGAACGCGTACTACCACTGCATCACAGAGGCACCATTTCACTATCACTCATTCTTCAGTGTCTCTATCATAACTGTCAGCCACCTACCTTCAACATGTTTGGTCAGGTAAGCACATATCGCTTTCTAAACCCAATTAAGCCGACAGCCATTGTGATATGTAATACTCGAAATTCTTATCTTTTGCTGTTTGTTTTTTTCCAGTGTTCGTAGAAAGAATTCAATTCAATCTATTTTGGCACCTTATTTGATCCGTTTCACTGTATCTTTTTTTGCTGCTTGAATTTAGTGCGTATGGCATTCAATTCGTTCTTTTCTTTTGTCTTCTTTTCAAACGTCGTGGAATACTATTTGGGCACGTTTCCTGGCAATCTCGAAGGTAGCCAGACTATGGGCTTCAATGGAACGTTCGCTGATGGCCAGAGAGTGTTTTGGAGTGGGAATCAGCCCCGCGCAGTGAAGAGAATTGCAACCATTCGGCCAGAACCCCACCCTACCCTATTTTCTATCCCAACGAGAAAGTTTAGGAATGTTAGTTCGTAATCACTGCGTAATCAGGCAAGATCAGTTCAACTAGTAGCCTGTTCTCTTATTTGAACGTTATAGAATGTTAAAGCATTGTAAGAATCGTGAAGAAAAATATTAACCGCATAATTTATATCGTCATCAATGTACACTATGTTCCATCCTCTCAAAGGCGTGGAGGTCGAGGCCGCAACTTATTAGTTCTTGGTGAGTACAGGACAAGACGCTGATATTCTCTTATGTTTCGCTCCACTGCTGCTTCGGTCTATGAAACCTCCTCTGGCTTACGACGTAGCTATGAACAGTAAAAAGTCACATACAAGTTCACACGAATTGGCAAACTCGACAAAGCCCTTAGTTTACTGTATGTTTTACAGTGCTATACTTATCAAGAAAAATGTTCCAAAAAAAGAAAAGCTTATCTGTCTTTGAGAAACATAATAGGCCTATTTATGCTAAAAACGTTTGTTGTTTTCCAAAAGAATGTCAGTTTGTTCAAGTAAGTATAGCCAGCGGAACCCTATATGATACCAACTTTGTAGCATGTAGCGCCTTACATCATTGAGTACTGTGATTCAGAAAAAAGTGGCTACTTTCGAGAATTAAGCAGATATTTCTTACTCATATCGAAAATTATTGATTAAACAAAAACTGTTCGCTCTTTTTTCAGATTCTCATTTGAAGCACAAGAAAAAACCTCGATTGTTTTGAAACTTCTGAAAATTGGAGGAAACTATATCATTGTAAAATTTCCCACCTGAATATGATATAATGGAAAATTTTCGTGCAACCATTTTTCTTCTGCAAACCTTCTGTCAAGTATAAGTAATATGATAAAGTAGAAATTTTCTAAACAAACCAGGTCTCATTTTCAAAAACGTCTCCACAATACTATCCAGTGCCGGATCTTGCGTGACGCGCAGAACGGAGGCACGACACCAAAATCAAGTCTTTTCACAACGTAGCTAAATCTGTCAGCATCAAGAGAATTGTCAAGAGCAACAAATACAGAATATTGACACTAAATTCTGAAGGATAGTGTTCAAGGCTAGTTTTCTTTTAAAACTTCAGTGTCATTGAAGTGAGATATCACGTTGATATAGTGTTGTTCACGGTTGACGCCATGCATTTTTCCGCACTCAAGCACATTTTGTCTTGGAAATCCTTTCGAACAATCAAAAGAGGCGCAAGAAATGAAGAGAGAATAATTGAAAAACTGGGCTGATACTCCCTGAACCGACAATCGCCTAGCCTCGGCACTAATCAAATAATTTCGTAATCGAAAGTTCAAAATTGCTCTTCTAATTACCTGAGGACATCTTTCAGGAAAACCGGTCTGTTTGAACCACGCGATCATGCACAAACGACAGCACTTATGAGTACATGGATGAATACTATGAACAAGAAATTCTAAGGACAATGCTTGTGAATGAACAGGGAGGCCAATTTCTTTGTCAGTATTACTAACTATAAGCAAAGAGAATGGAAAAGAGTAGTATTAAGAAGCAGACGTACTTTATCGGCTTAAAAAATACGTTTGAGCAAAGACAACACGTTAGGATATCTTCAAGCCTATTAAGGAACAAGGTATAGATTTGTTGTTGTCGAATCACCTAAAGTCCTTTGCAACTGAGAATTAGATATTCTTTAAATGAATGCAGCATCATGATTATTTTGATAATCTAGTTTGAATCGACCTTGTCAAGAGCATTGATATAAGATATAATTTAATAGTGCTATATAAGATACTTTCAGAATTTCATTTTTACCTGCTGATTGACAGCAGCGCCTTCATTTTGAACGTTCTGGAGAGTATTAGATAAACAAAGTCCTCCTGAAATTGGAACTTTGAGTCTGTCTAAATGATAAAATATGATGCTACTGAGGAAACAAACGTTTCGATTCCGGGACAGATTCAAGTGATGCTGATACACGAAGTTCTTGACTTGTCAACGAAGTAGCGCTATGATTACTTTCACTTCCTCCATTGTGGAAAGAGAAGCTTACACCACGAGGAGTTCCAATTTCTAAAAAATCGTTATGATCAAAAAAACTGAGATCTTATTTTCACCGTCGTATGTAGCTTTTTCTGCCTCTAGTGAAAACTTGATCTCAAGCTAATACAGTTACATCCCAACAAACTTTGTATTAAATTTATATGCTGAAGTCAAAAATTGGTATTCGAATTTTCAAACGTTTTTATTGCATTTTTTGCAGTGCTATGATCGTTTTTATATTCCTAAGAGAATTGAATGGTCAGCAAAAATACGTTCTCAGGCGGAAATCGAACCCGCGTTTCATCCTATCCGGAGAACGCATGCTATACCACTACACCACAAGAATTAGTTTTATTAAACCGCTTTACAGCGTTGGAATGATGTAACAAATTTATTCAATAATATGAGCGGTGTGCAAAAGTTCGTCAGTCAGGCGAAACTCCAACCCGCATTTTACCCTATCGGTGGGAGTGTGCTCAAACCCGTTACACTATCGACGCCTGTTTTGCCACCACTCTTTCTAGGCTACAACGCATCAATTTGTCACCTATCATCAGTCAAAGGTTTGGTTAAGTAGTCAAAATCAGGATTAAACGCAGTTTTGTTGTAGCGTAGAAAAACTGGTGACAAAAAAGGTATCTGCAGTGCAACGGGTTAGAGCACGCGTGCCCGCACAGGATGAAATGCACATTTGAGTCCCGCCTGACACGAAATTTTCGCACATTTCTCATCATCATTGGGTATATATTAAAATTTAGAAATTATCCGATATCCTCACTTTTGAACCCCATGGTATAAGCGCCTTTAAAGCTTCGGCTCAGGGTTTTTATAGCAGTTTGATAACTTAAATCTCGACGGTTCCAATGGTGCACTTGGTTATTCAAAAGGACTTCAATGCTCTGTAGCAACTAAATGAAATTTGGCTATCGCACTCAGCACGCACTTCTTGTTCAGGTATGTGGATGGAGTTTCGCAACACTGATACAAAGTCATCACGTATTTTGCGGACAACGGCTATTAGCAAAACCCAACCTTCTTTTAGCTGCTACGTCCCACCCATAAGTCTTTTTCAAAACCGAATCAATCTCTGAAATCGTCGAAATTTAAGCTACGGAATGCTTACTAAAAGTGTAAGAGAAATCCCTTAATGTGAAACATGGTTTTGTTTCTACTGCTATACCACACTGAGAAATTATTTTGGAAATAAAGTGCACTATTAAAATTTACTAAATTCAACCTATCGACTGATTACAAGGATTGGAGATTAAATTAGAGAACTTGTTTTTCCCAAGAGGTCGAAACAGGGTGCGGATAACGGAAGTACGCTTTTTCCTTGGACTATTAGTGATCATTCGATAGTTCAACTCCGGACTATTCATTGGCATATTTAATTTTGATAGATCATTTTTTGACGCGTTATAGAAGTCGAATTAAAATTGGGCATTACAAATTTGGATCATTTTCGTTATCCGCACTCTATTTCAAGCTCCTGGAAAGAAAGCGTTATCTGATTTTTTTTGAGTTCCAGTAACCAGCAGGCAGCTTAAATTTCAAGGATTTCAAAGGTGCTCTCAAATTTCAAGTCTTCACAGTGCATTGTAACAGTAAAAATAAAATCATGCTTCACACTGAAACATTTTTCGCTGGAAAAAAACTTTCCTCTTAGACTTTTAGTAATCATCTGTTTGGTCAAATCTTGACAATTCTAAAGATCACCTTGGTTTTTGAAAAAACTTTTTAATGCGCTGTACAATCAAAGGAACGTTGGGTTTCGCTAATTTCCGTTATATTGCAAATATCGAGGTGACTTCGTGCCATTGTTGCAAAATACCATCCACACACCGGAGCAAGGAGTGCACGTTAAGTGCGAAACACAGTCTTTATTTAGCTAATATAGCGCATTCAATAGTGTTTTCAGATAGCCAAGTGCACCATTGAAATCGTTCAAATTGAAGCTATTGAATGACTACTGAAAGTCTGGAGAATTAGCTTCGTGCGGAAAAAAATACCTAAGTGTGAGTAATCTTGATCTCAATGCTATAGAGCCACGAGGAAGCTTTTTAAGAAATGAAACAATTATCGCAATTGTCGTATTTTTGGCCATCAATGGACTACCGAAATTTTATTACAAGTTAGAAAACGCATTATTCCCAAAAGGTCGAAACACAGTGCGAATAACGGAAGAGTACCAAATTTTTGAGCGAGGTCCCAAGATAGCCGATAGGAAGGTTCTGCTATATGATCCATAATACCTTCCCTATCGACAATAAATCACTCTGAGAGGTGTTTTATCGTAGAAACAAGCACAAGGGAATCAGAAATAAGTGATGGAAAAAGATTATCACTCATCTTCTGAGAATGTCAAGACATCACCAGTGCTGATATTTTTCTGTTCACCTCTTGATAAAGGCGAATTATTTACAAATACATTTGCTCTTCTAAATATCGTTTTCGAGAGAGTTGTACTTGAGGAAATGATGGAATCAGGATAAAGAAACAACTTCGCGTAGACATTTACCTTAGTTCTGACGTAATTTCAACAGCAAAATATATTCAAAATAGAGAAGAACATTTGCTCTACGTCACTGCGATGTCTTATAACTGGTAAAAACACCGTTTGATTTATGTGAACAAGCAATGAAAGAGGAACTCAAAGAGAGACGAGCAGCAGTTATGGCAAAAACTTCAGAAGCTGGGAAGAGCCTTTACAAAGCCCAGCGAAGCTTCGTCAATTGCAAGACCAAGATGATTGCACTTCGACGCCCTGACGTGACACTTACAGCTTCCAGAAGAGCTATGGAGAAAATTACTTCTCAATACTACTCGGATCTCTTCGCTAGCCATGTCCTCTTACCGTCATATAAATTGAAAGATGATGGATATGCCGTTCCATCGGTCTTCCATTCTGAAATCCCACATGCTATATCGCCGGCGAAGCACAGAGCAACACCCGGTCTAGACATGATTAGACCAGAACACCTGGAGAACCTATCGCAGGTTCACATCAACACCCTGACTTGACTATTCACTCGCTACCTGTCAGAATGCAAAGTCCCTATTCAATGGAAAACCAGGAAGACTGTGTTGTTGTTGAAAAAAGGAAATCCCAAGACCGACTATCTATTAACCTCGGCATAGTTTGAATAAATGAATAGTTTCTTCTGTTTAGCCGTTCCGAGGTGTTATTGATGTTATTTATTGAATATTAGCGAAGCATACAACAATACAGTCAGTAATGCAGCTTGAATACACAATAATCGAGGTGGCTAACGTTTCGGCGGGTCGCCTTCGTCAGAGCCTGGAAAGATCAAATTGATCCACGATCCACTAAGCCAAAAACCTCCATAACCCTAGCAGAAAACGTTAGAGATGTGTTTTGGATCGCATAGTGAAAGCTTCATTCTAAAACACTCACCGTTTTTTGATATTTCTGTCTATCAATTATTAATACAAGACAAGCCGCTTAAGGTCAGTGCATCAGTGGGCTGTGCATAACTCGGGCCGGAAAAATCAGCCTGAGGTATGGTTCGAGGTCACGCGTGATTATGAGGCACTCCTCTTTTCGGTTCATTTTCGGACCTTTATTATGTATCCAAAAGGCTTCTAATGTTTTACGCGCAGATGTTCTTGATTCCTGTGCGAGGATCGTGAATTTGACGCCGAACATTACTCCTTCATGTTTTTGGTCCCTATGCGTGCCTAGTGGGGTTTTTGAATCACAGTTGCGTAACCCAGCTAAGTGCTCTTTTACACTGAGGAATAGTGGTCTACCCGTTTCGCCAATGTACTCATCGCCGCATATCTCGCAAGAGATTAGGTAAATTATACCCGATCTCAAACAGTCGCCGTTCTCTGCCGTTCGGACAAACTTTGCAATCATTGGTTTCGCAGAGGCGGTCATACAATCGGTTGCGGACTAATTGACGCTTTAGCGTTTTTGGGGGTATTTCAACTATTGCTACCGAATTATCCAAAGCTGCTCTTTTTAGGCATCGTTTAATAGCTGTACTTATTTCGTTAGAGATAAAAGGCAGGAGGAAAGGAACCTTATTTTCGCCAGACTTATCGTTTTGGAGCATAGAATCTCCTCTGAATCTAACCTGAGAAGCTCCTACCGTATCGTAGCCATTAGAGATGGCTATTTTTCGCGCCAAGCTTAAGGATTCTACCTTGTGTTCTTTCCCTGTGCACACATTTGACGCTGTTCGGAACATATTCTTAAGTAGTGCGCGTTTTATGTGTGAAGGATGGGCTGATAGGTAGTGAACCAAGATGTTTTTATTGCTTAGTTTACGGTACCATTTTGTATTGTAGGAGTTTTGGGACAGGTTGACCTGAACGTTCAAAAAAGGGAGCCAATTTGCTTTCGGTTTTTCACGGGTGAACTTTATGTACTCTGACTGACTGTTCAGCAATTCAAAGCATTTGTCCATCTGCTCTTGGGTTGAGCAGACGACAAAGCAGTCATCTATGTATCTACAGTAGAGTACAGGCCGGAGTTCGTTTATGGGCTCTCAACTTTAGACATAAAGGCTATAGCAAGTGTTGGCGCTAGTCGTTGTCCCATTGCCAGCCCTCTGATTTGAGCAAAATAGATCCCGGACCATCCAAAGATTGAACAGTTTAGGCACTCTTTTAAGAGAGCCATAACACTGTCCAATGGAGAAGCCATACATGTTTGTGGTCCTTTCGTGCTCTGTTAAAAGCTCGTATATGGCTTGCATTGCGGAATCATTCGACACGTTTGTATAAAGGGCGATTACGTCGAAAGATTCCATCACGTACGCGTTGTTTGGAGATGCGTTACGTAAATGGTCTAGGAACATTTGGGTGTTTGTGAGATGGGCTGGAATGTGCTTTAGTAATTGGACTAGTATTAGGTTAAAAAACCACGTTATCCTGTCCGTTGGTCCGCCTACGCAGCTGATGGTGGGTCTAACTTTGAAATTTGATGGATTAGTAGACAAAAGATCATCAGTGCATACCAACTTATGAGTTTTAATAAGTAAGTATAAGACGGGACATGATGGTGGACTAAGTTTTAGCTGGGAGATAACGGAAGGCTTTAAACCAGCCGAGCTTGCTATTTTTACCCATTGTTGGTTCAGTTTTCGATACTGTTTTTGGAATTTCTTACCAGATGATGGGCGATAAAGTGTGGCGTCTTCAAGATGGTTTTTTTGTTATCGCAGTATCTAACTGATTGGGAATTACTACAAACTCTCCTCCCTTGTCACTAACTGATAGTCTAATTGCTTTGGAATTTATTAGTTCCCGTATTTGTCGCATACCGCTTTTCTGCGCCGATGTTAGGTTGGAACTAAACATTTTTCCGCGATAGTGGTT